AAAAAAACAAAAACGCCCCCGTCTGGTCTGGGGGGAGGGTGCCGCATGCGGCAAAGCGGACCGGACCGGACGCTCGTCCGGTCCGTCTGCTTGCAAGTATGGTGTAAACTATAGCGAGCCCACTATGGCGCGTCATGACTATAAACTAGACAGTTGATTTCTTTGTTGTCTTCCCCCGAACGCAATGCACCCTCATTTTTGCTGTACATGATCAGAAATACAGCTTGTATACATTTCTTGTCGGGGCGCGTTAGGTTTCGGGGGAAGATGATGATGCTTTGGCATACGCACGTGTGCATGCTTTCATGGCTTTGCTATGATGAGCCTGCTGCTGACAAGGGGAAGAGAGAGTTAAGGAGAAGCGTAAGAAGCGGAGGAAGTGGAGGAACACAAAAAGGGGAGTCATTACCGGGAACAACGGTGAGTCTGCTGTTAAGACGAGACGAGAGTAAGGAGAAGAGTGAGGCAAGTAGGAAGATGGGGACAAATAGGAGGAAGAGAACCAGCCAGCTTTGTAGACGGACTGTTGGACGACTACCGTCTTCCCCCGAACATAACGCACCCTGAAAATGAACGTATAGAAGTTATGTTTCCGGCCCGATACAGTCAAAATGAGGGTGCGTTTTGTTTGGGGGAAGACGGTAGCCAACGGAAGTAGTAGGTGCAGTCATTTGTCTGGTTCATTCCGTAAAAAAGGAGGGGGAGACCACAACAACGATGATCACGACGAAAGCACTGATCGTCGTTGCAGAAAGAAGCTGCGATACCCTCATCTTTCTTTCTTTCTTTTTTTTTTTTAACCAGCCTCAGTCCACTAGAGGATGTGTGGCTGCGATACCCTCGTCGAGTTACTCAGAAAGGGGTATAAATGCGGGAAGTGGAGGAGGATGTGCTTGTAGGTTGCGCCTCTGCCGTACCTCCAAAAAGAACGACTCCCATGAGTGTGAAAACAGATCCTACAAATGCAACTGTCCACAGCGGAACGAGTAGCCCGATGCAAGAGAACATATTTGCCGACACCACCGCCACCAACACCAAGATTGCAAGAAAAAGGAAGAAGTGGTCTGCCTCATGCCGTAAACCGACCATCCAATACACGATCCTGGATTTCTTGACAAGCACCAGACATGTGAACAAAATATGAGTGTGTGTTTTAAACAACCATGGCACCAACCCGTTTTCCCCACAGATGCATTTTGTTTGTTTGTTTGTTTGTGTGTGTGTGCCCGCGCGCGCGCGCGCGCGCGTGCGTGTGTGTGTGTGTGTGTGTGTGTGTGTGTGTGTGTGTGTGTGTTGTGTGTGTGTGTGTGTGTGTGTGTGTGTGTGTGTGT